AAAGAGGACTACTATATTGATGGATTTGACAGAATTAAATTACAGAATGACATCACAAGGAAAATTATCAAGTATTTGACAAACTGGAAGAAAATGTTTCATGTAATTGAAATTAACAAGGGGTTACCATCTAGATTATACAGGAATTTACAAATGCACAAGAAAAAGATGACAAGCACAATTTGAGAATATATAAAACTAAGCAATTTATTAAAAGTCAAATATGAATTTGCAAGTCAATGAAGAAAATCTTTGACTCTTAACTCACCAGAAAATATTATAGGTAAGCCAGCCATTAACACAATATAGGAAGATGTATACTATGCACAATGCTACTGGGAGTACACACTGGTACTGCCATCATAGAGAGCAATCTGGGCATACTTAGTGAAAATAAATATGATCCGGTAATCTATTCCAGGGAGGTATCCCAGAGGAATTTGAGCACAGGTTCATAGAGGGACAGGCACAAAGATGTTCATTGTAGCAGCAAGTTAGAGGCAGCTGGGCCCACTTTGCTACAGAAATGAATAAGTAAAATGCTGTGAATATATACAGTAAGATATCATCCATTGCTCAGAAGCAATAAATTAGTATCATATATAGCAGCATGGGTCAATCTTTGAATGAATGGTAAGAAAGATAACATTAAATTTAAAAGTTAAATTTAAAAATTAAAATTAGTTAAAATACAACAATTAAAACAGAGTGAAGCCTACAGAAAAATGTCTTTATGTAAATTAAAAACAGATGCATATATAAAACAGCATCATATGTTTCAAGGAATCATATATACTCAAAGTTTTCTGTGAACTTGGAATGTAAATTCAATAAAATGGTGCTTATAGCAAGAGGGATGGTAAACATAGTCAAAATGGATGAATGAAAAATAATCAAATTTTTAAAAATTTGACTTAAAATTGGACTGTACATAGACAGTTGAGGTATACAGTTTGTATTAGGATATATAGCTAATTCGATAAACTGTACCTGAGATTAAAAATATATAAATTATATAGTCATTTTGCCTGTCCTCTGTAACTTGGCCTGGAAAAAAAAAAGTGTTATACTGAACAAAAATACTCTCCTTGCTTTTCTCAGAACATGCCAAGCTTGCAATATTTTAAGGAGGATTATGCCATTGTCCCTGGATACTTAGAGATCTCTACCTATCCAAGTACATGCTTCAAGATACAGTTTATGCTCTGCTTCTCTACAAAACCTTTTGAATTGTTTCATTCACATAAATGTCTTTTTGAAACTGTTTTTATAAGTTGCTTCATGACATCTAAGACTTAACTACACATACACCCTCTATTGCTGTGTTATGTCTTTTCCAGGACTTTCTTTGCTAGATGCTAACATCCTAGAGATGAATTTCTTTGAAGCTCCCTGTAAGGTCTAAAACAGTGTTGTGCACACAGGAAGACCTCAATAAATACCTTAATTAATAGATTTTCAGTTGCAATGGAAAATTTATTTGAAATGTTGGTAGCAAAGGATATATAAGTGGGATCATAATGGAACGTTGAAAAACTTTATTGCTTTGCAACTGGAAATTAGTTTTGAAAGTATGAGAGAACTGAGGTTCTGTTGGGAACTATAGTTCTTTGGGGGAACTAAAGAAGAATAGAGAATAATCCCAATCACACTATGAATAGAGTAGCTCTCCAATGGTAGAGGGAAATGAAGTTTGCTTTAGATTCTTCGCTATTTCAAGGTTTTCTTTCCTTTTCTTGGTGTTTTCTTGTCTAGGAAACCTTTCACACAGCATATCTCCAGCACTGACAGGCTATGTACCTTTGCTTTTTGACTGTCCTAGGCAATGATAAATAACACTACCTCTGCCCTGAATATGTAAATAATTTTATTTTACTTTAATCTGAAAACTAAAGCTAATAAAAGGCCACTCAAAATGTACTCCCTTAATCTATAAAACTGTTCTACAGCCCATTTTCCCACTTTTAAGGAAAAATATTCTTTGTTTTTGATGAAAATTATCATTACAATATGATTACTAAATATATTAATTAATTTTTGTATATGAAATTGTGGTAATTCCTTTCATTGCCATGGAAGGAAGAAATAGTCTACACAGCAGAGTTGATAAACTGAGCAGTGTTCTCACTGAGATTCTAAATCTCTTTCAGCTGTGCTCTACAAATAATCTGAATGGGAATCAAAGGTTCTCTTTGAAAGGGAACTTGAACTTTGTGCAAAATCCAACAAAAGACTGTAACTTCCAAATAAGGAGATATGTGTCACTTGCTCAGCCCTCTAGAAGGTAAAGAAAAAATGTGTTCCTTTTGACCACCATTCCAGCTTCAGGGAATGATGGTCAAAAGGAACACAATGCAAAGTGGAAATCATCATGGAGATGAGGTAATAAAAAGATAAGCATTCAATATCTACTTCAACTACTTCCTATTTTTGTTGTTTGAGCCAAGTCAGTAAGAAAACATTTCTGAAACTTTGCTTTTGGTATGATAAGAATGTGGGAAGATTTTTTTTTATATCAACTCACAAGATCACTTGGTGGCTAAAAATAATATGTACATATAATAGCTGCCTATTAGGAACATAAGAAACTGAGTTTCATACATTCTAGCAATTGACCAGTGATGAGTGGACCTGGAGAATAGAAGGTAATCCATAAATACTTGCTGAATTAATGCAATAGAAAAATGGAATACAACATTGAGGAAGTTAAGTCAGAAAAGAACAAGAAAGAGACTCACAGGCCAGGCATGTAAGAAGCAGAGGAAGAAATTCACAAAGGAAGAAAGGAAGATGTCCTCTTGATTCAGGAGTCAGTACCAGAGAAAAACTGCAGGACTCAAGGTAGTTGTAGCATAAAAGTGTTGCAAGCCCAATAGAAAAGAACAGCAAGCATGTTTAAGGAATTAAGATGCACAGTAGCAATGAACTACTTAATATAGATTAAACAACCTATGTAAACACTTTGATTTACACATTTGAGGTAGCTATAAGACAAGAAGTGAAGGAAATTTGTATCCCAATGAATGCATTATAGACTTTACACTTAGAGCAATTTAAATTCAGGTTCTACCATTAACTCTGAGACATCTAGAAAATGAAGAATTCAATTCTGAGAAATAAAGATTGTAGTATCTACTTTGTAGGATTGTCTCTTTGACAAGAATATAAAAGGACCCAAAATATGCCTGACATTTCTGTCATTACCATTATTATTGGCATTACTGTAGATTTTCATGTCCAATTAGGTGTGTATCAGTACTTTAAGGTATATATGTCTTGACTGCAATTCAAGAACTTGTAATTTGTAAAGAAACTTTAATTTGTAACTTGTAAAGTAAATGACTTCTTTATTTTTATATTGTCTTCTATGTGTACTTTTTACTCCTTCATGTCCTTTAAAAGCCACACTTCCAACCAAATAAATAAAAAAAATTCTAAATCTGGCCTAGCACCACTGAAGGAGGAAAAGGCACCATTCCATACTCATTCTAGAGTAGTTAGGTTGCCTGCCTATGTGGCTGCCCTCTGGCCAGCTAGGCCCAGGATCTCAGAAGAACAGAAGAGACTGGGCAGTACCAGGGGAAGGACAAGTGGTAATTCAGGCATAGTTGAAGTTTTCTTTTTCTTTTCTGGTATGAGGATTGAACTCAAGGGCATTCTACCACTGAGCTGCATGATCAACCCTTTTTATTTATTTTTTTTAAATTTTGAGACAAGGTGAAGGAAGCTGTGGCTTCCTGATAAGTTGCTGTGGCTGGTCTCAAACTTGCTATTGTTTTGCCTCAGTCCCCAAGTCACTGGGATTACAAGCATGTGCCACTGTGCCCAGTTATGGTTACAGTTTTCCTTACATGATTCCATACAAGAGATAGACTACAACATTCAAGTGGCTTAGAGCACCTTCCCAATGAGACATTCAGGCCTCAAATTTACTTTTTAAAACAATACCCTCATGTAAGTGGTTAGTAGTGAGAATCTTCCTTCCAAAAAAGGTTTATAAGGTGCATACTTTTAATTGTAGACAAAAGCTAGACAAGATGTCAAGATTTTTCAATTACACAGAATAACGAGAGAAATAATGTAAGATTTGTTATTTACAATACAGGATATTGATGACTTGCCTGTATATATATTAGAGTCAACAAACAAAACTGCTTATCAGTACTAAATCCAGTTTCCAAAGAAACTTAGTTCTGGTGAAATGCATTAAGAATGTTAAGCAAGGCCATTAGAATGATTTACATAATTAGGCAGCTAGCTCCCCAGTTTAAACTCCCTGATCAAGCATAGTTTTGATGTTATCTCATTAGTTAGCAAGCCAGCACACCTTTTGGCTCAAGGAAGAAAAAGCATAGGGGTCAGGGTAGGCCAAGAGTAGAGGAAGATGGGGGAGGGCTAGGTTTCACTTCTAATTTTTGGCCCAAGCTTTCATGAAGCTGAGGAAATTGTTTTTACGGAGTTAAGAGCAATCCCAGTCCCACAATCCCAGAGAGAAAACGTGATTTCTCAAGGATAATGTTGTGTTAACTCATGAAGCTGTGTGTGAACATAAAATCTAGGGGACACCCTGTGGTAAAGTCGTATGACCTACGACGGGGAAATGGAGAGAGTGCTGCTTACAAGTGTACAGCACCAGGACGTTGGTATGATTTGCTTTTTGCTTATGGAGTTTGCGCACAGGGATAAGCGACAGGACATGCTTGCATTGATTGGTGATGGGGAGCCCGTGAGGCGCTGATATACTCTAAAAAAAGGAGATTAAGGTGAGAGGGCAAACGAAGCTGGAGTTGAACAAAGGCGCTGTTGGATCGCAGAATACTGCTTTGGCTTCCCAAGAGGGTGGCGGTGAGAGCCGCGAGCCTGAGTGTGGCTAGCTCAGACAGCTGTAGGCACGTCCCAGCCGTTCCTCGCCGCGTCCCCGCCCCTCTGGAGCCCCGCCCCCTTGCGCGGACCAATGGTAGGCCGGGATGTTAGCAGGTGGGAGGCGCGGCCGGGTTGCTACAGCCAAAGCTGGGCGGCGGCGGATGCTGCTGAGAGAGTTGCGGGGAGTCGGAGGCGGTGGCGCAATGGAGGGGCTGGAAGGTGAGGAGGTGAAGGGATGCGGGCCGGGAACGAGCATGGACCCGGAGCACTTGGGGGCCCTGGACACCAATCCCAGGAAGGCGAAGGCCGTTCAGGAGTGGGGATCCCCGTCGTGCCTGCGGAGGCCCGGGCGGGTAGAGCTGGACAGCCCCCGGCGTCTTGGAACATAGGACTCCCAGGCTGCCCCGCCTCAGACGGTCTTCAGCTGGACTACCCCACCCCTGCCGGAGCTAGCCTTGGCTCAAGCCTGCACGTCATCCCCTACCGTTTTCTGGTCTTGCGGAACTCCTGAGTTTACTGTAATCGCTGTAATCACAGGGGCACTGGCCAGATTTTATTTTCCTTGCATACTGGTCTCGGTAAATGTCCACGGCCTCCCCACCGCCAAGTCTTTGCTGGTCCCACGGGATTTATCTTTCACTTCCAGCCAGCTCCTGACACTTTCTTGGCCAGTTTCCCCAGATAACCGTTTTTCCATTTCTACAGCATCTTCCATCAGAGAGGTGCCAGAGCATTATCCTAAGGCAGTGTCTCTGGCCAGCTCTAGAGCTGGGACAATAGATTACCAGAAGTATTTAATGGTTTAGTCACAAGGGCTGTGTAAGGTAGAACCAGTATTGGTTCCTTATCTTTGGGTTTATCCTTGTGCTGTAACCATGACTCCAGATTTTGCTTTGTTCCCAGTTCTTTCACTTTTTCTGTATTCTCTACCCATTTTATCTTGTGTAAGGACAGCAGTCGCTTAAAAACAAAGGAAGGAAAAAAACAGCATTGGCAACAACGGTTTCAAAATAAAATTTTTTAATTGGTAATCCTTCTGATGAAGAAAAGGCTTTCAGATTGAAAGATTCTGTTGTCTTGATTCAGGTCCTTTTTTCTCCTAATTTGCATGGATTCAGGTGAAATTAAGGATAAGCAAAGGCACTGAACCCTTTGTATTGTTGTGTGATAGGAAAATACTTGTGTTATGAAGTGAAAAGTGATAACTAGTAACTTCTTAGTAATCTGAAAGCAAATGCAATAACATGAGTATGAGTTTTTTCATGCTTTTCCTGTAGTCTAAAAATCTTATTGAACACCTTTATGATGATAGATAAAGAATTCTGACAGTTCTCCATTTGTGGGCAGCTATAGCTATGACCTATGAAGATCTTGTTTCCTTTCTGAATTTACTTTATGAATTTTCCATAAAATCAGAAATTGTACTGATAGTACTCTTTTCTTTCAGGATAATCTATTTAGTGGACTTCTCTGGAGGCAGCCTATTTTTAAATTATCTTAAAATATGTAGTGATGTTATGACAAAGTGGCTTGGAGCATGGGTTCTGGTGTTCTTATACGATTATTATAATACACATGAAGTGCTTTAATTTGCATATTTTTATTATTTTATTCAACATCTGCAATTAAAGCAATGATCTTCATCTAATTTTTTTACTTACGTTTTCTAAGCACTCTTCTGCCCTGAAAATGTACCAGAGAATAAAAATAGTCAAGGTCTAGCCCATATTGTAGAACTTACGTTTTTACAGTTCTGGTAGTACTATTACATTTAAGATATAATGGAGCCTATTATAATATTAAATTACACGGGTCGAGAAATACATTCTAATGAAGTATGGAATGGACATGTTTTATGGACCTAGCTTATGATATATCATGTTAAAAAGTACTTGATATTTTTAGAACAAAATAGGATGAGGTCCTAAACTATAATGCACTTAAATGTAATTAATTAGGTTGAAATATATGAAAATTGCTTTTTGTCTGGCAAAACAGTTGAATTTTGGGTAAGTGGTTTAGCCTAATAAAGCTCTTTTGAGTTTTCTTTTGAAGGGAGGACAGTGCCTTTCTTGCTTAATTCCCCTAACCCCTCCTCCTTTAAAAAAATTAGTTCTTATTAGATCACATTTGCTGAAACTTTAAATCTTAAGCTTGCCATTAATTAATTCATCCACCTATACCTCCATTTAATAAATATTGATACAGTGATAGATGTCTTTTCCCTATATTGGAAATTTAAGTCTACTCCTTTGACAGTGTCTGATAAACATTATATTGAATTGTTGCATTATATTGCAGTATCTAGTGTAAAATCTTCAAGTTTGCATAATGTGTTGTAGTGGTATTTGCATGTAAATCATATACCACTTATATTATTTTTTATCTTCTGGGGCTTTTTAAAAAAATGTCAAAGAGATGAGCTATTACACGCAACACTGTGTTTTGAAACCAAATTTAAGTTAATGCTCATATTTTCTATAATTGGTAACTGAGCATTTCTGTAAGGTTTGAACAGTTAAAACTAAGTCTTTATTTTCTTTCACCTTAAGGCTGTGAGGTGTATCTAAGAACAATAAAAATAGGTTTAGATTTAGGAGACTTACAGTCTCTTATGTTATCTTCTGTAAAATTAAGAGCAGATAAAATCTAAGCAGATTTTATATTGCATTGTCATTGCCTTCATAATGTCCTCCTTAGTGATGATAACAATTGTGGCAGAGATCAGACTACCCATTACTCTTAGGTTGCCAAAATTATTACATCTTAGTATTGCCTTCTGAAACTTGATTAGAAATGAAATTGTTGTTCTATAGTATTGCCCTTTTTCTAGTTGAAGGTAGCCATTATGTCCCATTAAAGTTTCTGCTTTGTTTTTCCTTAGGATAAATATATACTAGGTCATTGAATAATTCTTCTGTCTCTATTAATTTTTAGCATTCATTATATTTTGGGAACTGAGTTGGATGCCAGATACTTTAATGGCAAATGTAGAGGCTTATATTTGAATCCTTGCTTTGTTTCCTTTTATTTGTATGATTTGGACATTTATTTAATCAAAACCTCAGTTTCCTTAGCTGTAAAAAACTGTTGTTGAGTACTAGACTACCATATTATTAAATACTTAAAGCATTTAGCTATGTCTAGACTGAAGGCTCTTCAGCACAGTTTACTGGATGGATTAAATCAAAGGAGATGTGTTAGATGCTTAAGGATAGTCCAGTATTTCTTGCCATGCTGTATTTCACCACCCAATTGTCACAGATCTTATGACTTTTTTTTTTTTTTTTGCAAAAAGTTGGGATACAATATACTCTACTATCATGTATAACTAAAAAGAACACGTATAACTAAAAAAAAAAAATTGGAGTACAACCATTATGTGAAACTTTTTTTAAAAAATATGCTGGTTTTACTTAAAAAATCATTAATTATTAACTGTCCTTAGTGCAAGATTAAGATATTCAAAATATTCCTGAAAATACATTAAAATATATTAAAATTGAATCGTCCAAACCTGCACACATCATTTCTTCATGACCGTTTGGCAAACATATTTCCAATCTGAGAAAGTTAACACATTAGTTGTTATTGATTTTTGCAATATAGTCAAATTAATATACTTGACAAAATTTACTCCAGGGTTACAAAATATGGACTTAGAAAATTTAATTTGTGTCTGAAGATTTTGCACAGCTATCCCTGGTTCAGTTATCTGAGCACTCTCCTCTGCTCCACTCATATAAGATGTGCTTATCTTTAATGCTGCAGCCTTCTCAACACACCACAAATTGACTTTCAAAAATATACTGACCATGTATGTACACTGAAAATTGTAAGCTCTCCTGGCAGCACGAGAAGACAAATGCACATCCATGTGCTACTGTAAATACATTACTGTTCTGTTTACCTTATAATTGAGGTGATGAACAGAATTATACCATGTGACAATTGTTCAATTTTTGGACTGAAAAACAGGGCACGTCGATTATGCAGTGGTACCACTTATGCAGAGAAATATAGCAGGTAAAACATGTCATCTATCTCCCTCGTTAATTATGGTAGTACTGGAGGTAAATTTGGATAGACTGAAAAAGAAAGAGGCTGAAATTCTTAGATGTGATGAGGTTTGGAACTGAGGAATTAGTATAACGAATTAAAAGGGAGGACAGATATTTCTTAGGTAGAAAATTGAGATATCATTGCTATATGTGTAAGGGAAAAGAAATCAAAGATAAAGCAGCTTTCTAGCTTTAAGTAGAAGAGGGGTAATATCTTTAAGAAGAAGATCTAGTTTGCTGGATGAGCTAATGAGTTTGGCTTTAGAGATGTGTTTGTGCAGTACTTGGGGGTATCCTGTGGAAAAGTCTCATAGTTGCTTGGAAATATCTATCTATTTGGAGCTTTTGATTTAGTAGTTATTGGCATATGTGACTCGAACGGGTGCAGTAACCCAAGCAAACCATAATTTAACAAAATGAGGGAAGAAACTTGCAAAAAAACTAATGCTTTAAAACTGAGCAGGTCAGGAAATTAGGGTGGGAGAGTCTTTAAAGAATTTTTAAAAATTGTCATGAAAAGAAAATGGGGAAGAAACTAATATTTATGGAGTAGTGAATGTGTCCTAGAAAAAGCCTATGGCACCTGATATTACTAGGAAGTCTGGATACTAATGAGTCCAAACCCTGCTTAGTTTGTAACATCTGGAAATTTGGGGCTTAGGAGAAAGAAACAGAAGCCAAGAGAGGAAGGAATTTAAAGGTTGAAGGGTTTTTATCAACAGTGCCTCATGCTGCAAAAACAGGATAAGGATGCAAAAGCGGGACTCAAATTTAACAATTAGTAAATTAATAGTGAGTGGTTATCTCTGTTTCTTTAAGTCTTTAATTATCCTCATTAACGAAGCTTTCCATTATCCTACCCATTTCCCAAAGATAGCTTTATGACTCTCCTGTTTTCCCTTATTCTCTTCTTCCTTCATTGTGTTTATCACCCTGGCATTTTATATATTTATCTATTTTTACCCCCCATCCCCAACCCCCATTAAAATAGTAGAAGCTCCATGAGATTGGAGTCTTTGTTTTCTTTATTCCTGGATTCCTACATTTTAGAACACTTCTTGTCTTGTGTTAAGTGCTCAACAAATACGTACTAAGTCGAGGAAAGAAACTGTTTTAATATAATGGTTAGGATTAAAAGTCGGCCTGCACTAATGCCAT